TATATATATATAAATATTAATTAATTATAAATAATAGATTAACCAGGACTAATATTTTAAACTTCATCGTTCATCTAAAATTGCCTTTGTAAAAATCTCTGCCATATTATTTATCGGACAAAAAAATATATGGCAAAATATAATACCTCTAATTATAATGGCATTACTAAGATTAGAATTGACTTAGATTTTTTCGTAATGTTCTTTCGCTGCAAAAGTTTAAATATGTTTGTTTTTTTTTCTTTAAATATTGGTCGACAATACAATTTACAATACTTTTATGATATTCTTTGTTCCATCTAACAATATTATTTATGTGTTAACGCAGTCTTGTTTAGTTATAATATCATATAAAAATGTACTGGAACGTTATTGTATATAATATGTATATGTTTTTTTTTAAACGTAAATTAACATTTCTAAATATATAAACTTAGGTGTTTGTTTGTTTTATATGTATTGAGAATGCATATACATATAATCGAACATCGCATATAAAGCTCTCATAAGATGCATGGTCATTCATCGTATATCATGTTGTTAAAATTTCCATTTACAACGTATTAATAATATTACAATAACCATTGATGTTATTATCGTAACTATTACAAGTATTTATAAGATACTTATGTATGTACATATACATACATGTATATAATGCAAATAACGTAATGACAATACCTGCCCGAGCTGCCTCCGTTGTGTTAAAAAGACTTAGAAAAATCTGGTAATATTGGTATTTTAACTTAGAATGTATTTTGTTTGTAGAAAATATTTCTAATCGAAGAGATACACATTCATTATCTTTTCTTCACAATCAAATATGTTTTCCTTATGGATTATATTTAAATAAAAATAGGGATCATTTGTTCATTCATTAAAAACCCATTAATCGATGTAAAACATTATCAGTAAATTTCTTTTTTCATGTCTGTTGTTTCATACTTTTTGTTTTGAATCATAATTTATATTTAATTTTGTGTTTTTACCGCGAGATTTTAAAGTCTTGATATTATTAAATGTATTTTATATTTACAGAAATGAACATTTTATACGAGTTTTTATCAAAAATTTTTGTTTGATACTTGCTCTTAACTGCTGTTCTCAGTTGACTGTACTTTTAGACATATATTATAACTAAATACATAAATATAAACCGTAAATATTATTAAAAATAAAATCTTAAAATATAATAAATTATATTCTCGTGCAATCGACTGATTTAATTTATAAAAAAATTAAATTAAAACAAACGAATAATTTATCTTATAAATACAAAGCGATTTCTTTTTTATTTGTAAAAAGATTAGAGCTCATAACAATAAAATGTCAAAAGCAAATACTTAATTGTAATTATTATTATATATATTATATATTATAATATAATATAAATGATATATGGATGAACAATTATCTAATTAATATAAAAAGAGACCGATAAATATCTTAGGCTTGAAAGTTATCTCTCGTTAATATGAAACCTAACTTACGTATAAAAAAAAAAAGACTAAGCTATTCATAAGTAAAAATAAATAAAATACATAAATTAATGATTCATATCATTATGTATTATTTACTTAATAAAATTTTTCTTAAAAATGGTAACATAATGTAAATATTTTACCCGCAAAGAATACATTAACAACTAAAATAAACAAAACAAACAAAAAATGAAAGAACCCAAATTTTTTTAACTCATGTTAAAGAAATTTTAGAATTGTTTCACTTATTATACGTTTGTGCTTTACAGTAAATTAGATCAAAATAACTTAAATTAATTATAAACATAATGTGTGCATACGCTTATAAATAACAATTAAACTAAATTCGTCATCTTCCTAATATTGATTTGAATATTGCAGGAAAATAATTACTCTAAATTAGTAAAAAAAAAAAGAAAACGGATTTTTAAAGCAATAATAAATTTAGATTATAATACTGTATATAGAAAAAAACACTTAAAATAACAATGGTCCGAAAATCGTATTAATTATTATAAAAATTCCCCATGATTAATTCCAAATGGTAACTATTTAACCAAAAAACTACGTTCAGTCAACTGATAGATACTTTTAGTAATTTCAGCAATGTTTTGCCGACATGTTCCATATATTTAAAACACCAAACCGTCTGTAACTCCAATATTATTCTGATCTAACATGCAGGTAACATGTATAAAAAGTGTTCATTTTCATATACACGTATACATCTCTTTCATTTCATGGGTATCAAACTGTTAGAACAAAAAGAGAAAAGAATCACCTAGAGTACAACATCGGGCAGGGTGCAATGCCACTAGGCTAGTTGCGTACCACTTCGTCCACCATGATGTCCCATGCCAGTCATTGAACTACCTCCTCCCATCTCATTACGAACTATTTTTCTTTCCTTGTAATAAATTTCTTCGCTTTCCTTATCGCATAGAAGTAATACTGCTCCGCCAAACAAAAATATAGCTGCACCCCATCCAACACCGTATGCCCACCCAAATTCCCACATTGTTCTATTTCCTATTATTAGAGAAATATTTTAATAATAAAATACATAATGTTTACAAAATAAATAAAGTATGTAGTCAATAGATAAAAACTTACCAAGATTTAATTCTGTTGCAAAGCATACAGGATAAATCACCAATGCAGTTAAAAGACATACGACTGAAATAAATATAAATTAAAAAAATATAATCTATAAAATATATACATAATTAAATTACAATACACTTACGTGCAATACCCATACATACAACAGCAAATCTGTAAAATTTGTGCTTTTCTCTGTGATCTTGTGATCTCAATCCAAGACCTGTTAAAACTGTTGCCATGATATCTGACAGCAGACATATCACACACAAGGTAGCTGCAGCTTTTATATATGCTACAATAATAAAAATAAATCAGATTTATCTTATTATATTTAAATACATACATGCATAAAAAAGTATGTTTTATTTGCTTACCAACATCTCTAGCTTGATAACATCCTTGTGGATCTGGCATATTAAATGGCAGTGGAGTTGGTGCACCTTCTTCGATGCAATGTACAAAAAGTCCTTGCCTCCATCCTAAGGCCATTAACCAATCCGTCGAAGCGAGTCCCATTATCATTAAAAGTATCACAATGACTCCACATATGAATGCTATCACCTATAAATAACAAAAATAATATAATTACATTACATATAACCAAAATCACAATCGATATTGTTCTTTTTATTATATTATATCTATTCATTAGTATTGTATATAAACTATGAATTAAAACATAGCATATAATTAGTACTAAGTATCAATTAACAACAATGTATACCTGTGCAATCTCATTATCATTAATGTGTTCTTCCGCGACCGTATACATGATCATTTTATATTAAAATCCTTGATTCAAGATAGGTTTTAATGTAGAAATAAAAAGATTTCAAGAGACTATTCTTAGAAGAACAACAACAATAATAATAATAATGAAAACAGACGCTCATGAACACCTTGCACCTCTTAATAAACAATATTGTTTAGGGAACATCGTATACTCTTCCGTAATTTACGGTGAAATGTGAGGAAAAGCTTAAGTGCATTTAGCAAAGCTCAAGTCAATGAACAGATGAATCGATGAATGTGGTAGATACAACAAGAGACGACGGTGTATACGCGAGAGTGGTGGGGACGCACTTTCGCAAAACGTCGTAGATCAACGTTAGACGATACGAAGCTTTACGACTGAATGATTTAATTTCTTATCAATAATTCACTACAATTTCGTAGATCGTATATGGATAGTTAAATCATACGACTTGTTAACTAATCACTTAAGGAAGCTAAGCTTAACCGGGAAGATATTATCGTGGGGCTCGTAAAGAGAAGCTTCCTACGAAAGAGGCTGCGCCCAGCTGCGCCCATTAAATGCCTGGCGCAGCGTCCGGGCCGATGCTGCGCGTTCCCCCCTCATTCACCCACTCCCTTCACCACCCAACACCATCATCTACTCTTCCTCCTCCTCCTCCTACTTTTCACCCAACGCAACTCCCAACCCCATTACCACCTGGCCCCAATCCTCTACTTTTCCAGTTTCTTTTTCTTCCCACTTTCTACGTTTCTTTTCTTTGTTAAACTGAATCTCTCACCTCCATCTTTTATCATTCTTTTTTTTTCTTTGCTTTTTCTTGTTCTTCTTCTTCTGATTTTATCTACCTTCTTCTTTTTTTGTTATTACCTTTTATTTATTTATTATTTGACTGTTTATTTTCCATTTGATGTTAATTTTGTTTTCTCATGAATAGAAATTACTATATGTATGTATAAACATGAATGTTCTCTTTACATGGAAAGAGTAATGCAATTGTGCATATATTGCAATATTTACTTTTATTTGTATCTGCATAGTTAAAATTGTGTTATAGACTTTATATTTGAGCTTTGTTCTATTTAAATTTTATTTGTCTTCTTTTAAACATTTACCATTTTAAGGATTATGAAAGGGATAACAAAGTTTCATTATTATGTTTAGGGTTTAGTAGTGTGGAAAGGAGTATAGCATAGTCATAGATTTAATATAATAAACCTTTTTATACCTTAACGTTAACTTACCTTCAATGGTCTTGTGACGGTAACTGTTTCTATTGTTGTTGTTTGTGCCATAGTTTTTTCTAAGATTATAAACTGTAATAAATAAAAATCAATGCATCATAAACAAAATATATAAAATAATAAAACTTAAAATTATAAAAAAATAATTATAATAAAGTATATTACTGAAGAAACAATAAAATAGAAGTGAAATGTTTAGAAAATTGCAGCATCAGCGTTCTATCAACTAGCAAATTTATTTTCAACTATTAATGGGGAAACGATAACCGATATAAAAGTTTGTCTTGATATATGAAATTAAATATAAATAAAAATATATAATAAACACTAAAATAATTAAATTTAATTATAATACCTTGTGTAGTGGTCAGGTAAAAAGGATTAAAGTGAAATATAAGTAATAACATTATTATTTATATTACCTCTTGTTTTTTATATTAACTATTATATATACAGCCTATTCTTTTATTTTATATATTTATATTTATATTTATATTTATATTTATATATTAAATATGAAATAATATAAAATCCTTCATTCAGTGTGTAAGATTTAGTAATACAATCAAAATGGACAGATAGGAGCTTGAACAAAGTACAGAAGTACTGCTCTACAAAATGTTTTTATATTTATATAAACAATTAAATACTTTGTTATTTATATTATTAATTCATTAAACATGGGATTATTTTCTGAAAATAATAATGTTAATTAACTTACGATACTCTACAAGTCCATTTGATCATGTTGCATGTTGCGTTGTCGTTTTTTGTACTAAATTATCTACGATTTGATTTGTAATATTTATACAGTCATCTTTGTCGTTTTTAATTGATACAATTGCACGAATAATTAATTGTTGAATTTAAGGTAAAATGAAACTAATTAAATCTTAAATCTGTATATCCAAAATTATACTTAATTATTGTGTAGATCTTATTGTTGACCAACTCTTAGCACTGTATTCGTTGCATGTATGTGTCATCTAAGGAAAGGGAACACCCATGTCAAGTACTCAAGTGTGTTTGTAGAGACCTCTGGTCGACATACTTTTAGAAATGAGATTAAATTCAACATGGCGTTTGTTATTATAATTAACAAAATAATTAACAGAATACAATCATTTCTAGATTATTAATACATTAATTTTATTTATTTTGTAGTAGTTACTATTTAATTATCAATTATCTACTTCTAGCAATCTTTATTCTTGTAATTGAAACTTTAAAGTCTACATTTTTTATATATCTAATAATTATCTATTTATATATTTATATACGTACATATTGTTATATATTTTATTAATATTATTTACTTATTTATATCAGAAATCAATTTTAATAGATTTATCTTTAATTTCTTAGATGCTCTAATTTTGATTTTCACTTTCATTTAATGCTCTACCTTACCTACATCATCGTAGTGTTACTGTCGATACAAATTAGTATTATAAACATTTTAAGGTTGTAATTAAAAATGTCAATATCAGTATTTTCGTCGTTAATCGTACCAGGCGCAATTCTTATGATTTTTACAAATAAGGTCTCATTCGAAAGATTAAGGTTCAAACTTCTAATTCTACTTTAAAAATTTTAATACAAGATTTATCTTTATGAATAAACTATTTTCGAAAAAAAATATTTTTTGAAGCAATTTTTTTTATAGGAAAAAACGATACTAGTGACGCATAGTGGGGGAGACACCGGCTCTTTTGCACTTTTAGTTCATATTTTATACACACGTGTCGTTGAAATTACATAGTGAACCAGCCTTAAAGACACGTGTGTCAATTAGGTTCTGTTGATATTTATTTCTCTTTTAAAACATACACATACATTTATTTTTATTAAAAAAAAATTGAATTTTAAATAAGAATAAAGGCTTATTTATATGCTTAACTAACACTGTAGAAGTTACAGTGTTTTGTTTAGAAAGTAAAATATATTACACATATATTCAAATGTAAGTAAAATGTTTAACAATAGCAAACAGAGCCAAGTACACTATTATTGTGCTTCTAAAATATGTATGCTTTTATTTTCGTTATTCTTATTGCAGATGGAACGACATAGTAGCATCAGTGAAACAAAAACTTTTACCAAGTGGTACGAGGAGTTTCCGAAAGCAGAGAAACCTTGCAAGCATACGAAGTCAGATTTTGAAGTGTTAAATTTGAAAGAGAAAGCAAAGAAATATCTTGAAGCAGAAAGTTCAGCATTTCAATTGAAGCAATCACACTCTCGAGATCCAGAAATAAAATGGTTGAAAACAGCAGTACAGCGTGGTACGACATCCGACAAGGTAGCAGCATCAATTTTATTGATACAAATTAATCCAAAGTGTAATCTGACCCAAATATCGTTTCTTCTTTCTTTGGTAAAATCAGCCAAACATAATCAGTGCAGTTTGGTAATCAATGCTGTGAAAGATTTATTTTTATCAGATTTACTTCACCCTACATTTAAACTTTTAAAGTTCGAAGAGCAAAATTTAGATAAAATGAACAATCCGCAAAACTCGGATCATCAAATAAATAAAGTGGATCGGAATCAAGAGAAGTGGTTGGCTTACATTTACTTTGAAGATCAATTACGAGATCACTTTGAAATGTTTGTTTCAATGCTTTCCGATTTTACCTCAGATTCGGTTGAAATGAATCGAATAAGAGCGATAAATGTTATGACTTGTTTGTTAATCGAAAATTCCGAACAGGAACAGAAAATATTGCAATTGATTGTTAATAAGATCGGTGATCCGTACAACAAAGTAGCTTCCAAAGCTGTGTTTTGCTTACTTAAATTATTGTACGAACATCCGAATATGAAAATGGTTGTATTGAGAGAAGTAGAAAAGCTTTTATTCAGAACAAACGTATCTGAACGTGCTCAATATTATTCTATTTGTCTGTTAACACAATTCGTGTTGAGGAAAGTCGACAATGAACTTGCTACTTCTCTTATTGAAGTTTATTTCGCATTCTTCAAAGCATGTTTGAAGAAAGGAGAGCCTGATAGCAGAATGATGGCTGCTATCTTAAAAGGAGTTAGCAGAACGTATAATTTTGCTAAATGTGACTCAGAATTATTGCATAATCATATCAACTCTTTGTATAAAGTTGTACATATTGGATCTTTTAATGTTTCATTAAACGCTCTTAATCTTTTATATCATGTAAGTATAGTTTTTGTTAATCGTTATTATTTAATGTTAACTCTTTGCACTGTGATTTACATGCCTTGTTTGGTTCTATATTTCATTCTTATGTTTGGCTTATAAAATTCACTGTGTATACGATTTGTGGTTCCTCATGTTCTGGGGTTGTAAAATAAATTATGAGTCTCACACATTATTATAGTGCAAGGGGTTAATATCATACTTAATATTTTATCTATATTTATTATCATTTGTTTCTAGGTTGAAATAAAAAATACTAATCAATCCAATAGATATTATACAGCTTTCTATAAGAAACTATTAGATCCACAGATAGGCGTAGCAAGCAAACGTGCAATTTTTTTAAATTTGTTGCATCGTGTACTTCAAAACGATGAAAGTTTTGTACGTAGACATGCTTTAGTTAAACGAACGTTACAGACTGCATTATATTATCCTGCAAACATGGTTTGTGGTATTTTGTACGTAATATCCAGAGTTCTACAATATAAAAAAGATTCAAAGGGATTTTTCTTAAGTACTCAAAAGCTTATTAAAACTGAAGACAATGTGTCCGATGCAAATGAGATTAATTCATCCAATAATAAACAAATTGTCAATAGTTTTAAACATAATGGGTCTAAAATTCAACTGGAAATAGATCCAAGCATTATGATTAATGTTACCACCAAACCTACTGAAAATTTATCAAAGCGGAATGTCGAAATAGACGAAAAAGTCGAAGATTTTTTGCAAAAGCCATATGATCCGTTTTGCCGCAATCCTTTGTACTCGAACGCATACTGTAGCATGTATTTTGAACTTGTATTACTGTGTGATCATTTTCATCCGAGCGTATCTTTATTCGCAAATTCAATTGTTGATGGTAATTTTTTATTTATACATTGACCTTAATTATAAATTAATTTGTGTTTAAAAGTATGATCCATTTTTTAGGAAAACCCATCAATTATACAGGAGATCCCTTGGAAGATTTGACGTTAATACGATTCTTAGATAGATATGTCTATAAAAATCCAAAGAAATTGGAAAATAAAAGAGTACAAAAGAAGAATGATCCATTGGCACAGCGTGCTGGTTATGTACCGAAAGGTGTACGCTCTTTACCTGTCGATAGCATGGCGTATCTTAATGAAAACGAAAAGCATATTCCGGTAGATGAATTATTCCTTCATCGTTATTTGAATATGAAGAAAAGATCTATAGATATGTACAACGATGAAGACTCTGATAATGCGAGTGTAAATAGTGAAGAGTTCAATGAATTACTAGGTAAATTAGGTACTAACAGGGATATGGATGATTTTGATATTGCTGCAAATATTGGAATGATAAAAAATAAAGAAGGTAACACACACACATAGTTAAATTGATATATAATAACTATTTTATTTTTATTTCCTGTAATCGCAACATTTATTATAGACGACGAAGAGGATGATAGTGACCAACAAACGGAAGACGAAGAAGACGATGTCACAGCATTTGATGCAGATGAATATCCAAGCGATGCTTCTATTTCTACTGATAGCAAAGACAATGATGTTATTACTAAGTATAAGAAAAATAAAAATCCAATTGATACAAATATGTCTACTGATAGCGATGATAGTCATTCGGATGTGCGAAAAAAGACGAAAAACAATTTCATAGACGAAAATTCAAGTGATATATCTTTTTGTGGCGATACTAGTGACGATGATGATTATTCATTCGCACAGTCAAAGACAAATTCTAATGAGGATCTAAGTAGTTTGTACGTATCCGCTGATAAATTTGCGGAAATGTTAGAGGAACATGGCCGTACGAAAACTAAGCACGGTGGTACTGATGCGTTCAATACGATGGATGGCGCAAGTTCCAAACAAATAGATTGGGAAAGTAAAAGAAATGAAAAGCTTACTGGATCGTATGGTAGAAAAAAACGTAGGAATGTTAAAAGTTCATGCAATAGAAATAATAAAAAGATAAAACATTAGAAAAACAAATTGTTATTATATTAAGTGTTATATTTATCTTACTAGTTTCGAAATTTGATAAAGTCCTTTTGTTTCCTCAGAATAACATACTCTTATTTTTTTAAAGTATTGATATGATTATTAACTATATATGTTCTTATAGACGACAAAATATACATTGAATATTTTCTAAAATAAACATTTTATCTCAATTGATCCTTTTATTTGTAATCGCTTATATAACTGTAACAGTTTAAACATAAAGCACATGTTTTACCTACACTTTATGTAAACTAACACAATGTATTATTTAAAAAGAGAAAACAAACGTTAAGTAAATAAATTTTCTTTATATTATTGTAATTGAAGAAAATTAAGTTTCTCGTTTTTTTTTATTTAACATAATAATGTTAAACTTATATTTTAATGCAGTAAAATAGAACATTTTATTTAACGCATTGCGAGTAATTTACTCTTTTTTTTCAAGTTAACTAAGTAAAATCATTCTTAACTTTAGATTGTCATATATGCTAATTACATTTCTGGTTATTTTAACGACATGACACTGTAACATGTTACTTACAAAATTATTACGACGGATGTGCAAGTTTTTTTCTTTTTTGATTGTTTTTGTTTAGCCAATTAACATATAAGTATTATTAGTAAAAAATTGCTTAATCATTATTTCTTTCTTTCCGTGCAACATTAATATATTTTTTAAAAATACTTTAAAAAAAACACGCGATATAATTTGTCGCGATTATATGTGACAGATTCTAAAGCGTGCCGTGTATGCATATCTTAAAGTTAAACGCTACTCTTGGTCAGGTTTAGTGGAACTTTCTTCATCATGAGCTGGGCTGTGCCATGTTAAACGTTCTTCATAAAACTTAATTACAATCTGAGGGCATTTTTCGTTGGCGACTCGAGCAGGTACTAAATCGGCATCATCCGTACCTTTCCATTTCATTAAAAACATTAATTCTCCACTAGAATCTGTTGCCCCAATAATGCGTTCTGGCTCTAAGTTTCTATCAAATCCTAAAATAATAGTTTTAATGTAATTTTAAACTTTCAAATGAATTTAAAGGAAAATGTTAGACTATTTTTTTTTTATAAGCATCTTTTAACAATTTTATTTAAATTTACCTTCAAGCTTTTTTTCTTCGGTAGCTTTTTTCTTGGCTTGTGTTGGAGTAGGAGTACTGGAACTCTTTCTCTTTTTCTGTTCTTTATCTTCGTGTCTTTTACTGGAAGCAGCTGCTTCTTTCTTTTTGCGTTGTTCTTCAAACTGTGCTATTAAGTCCGGGCAATCGAGATTCTCTTCAGGTTCCCATGTATTTTCATCGTTAGAATATCCCTTCCACTTAAGAAAATATTCAACCTGAAAATTAAGGATTTAAAAGTTTTTTTTTCATGAATCGTGTAATGTTCTCATACAAGTTTAGATTACGGATATAATATAAGACATACTTTTCCTTTAACTACTCGTCTGTCTAAGACTTTCTCAACACTGAATTCTTCTTCAGCTTCTCCTTCCGTAGCAGAAGATTCCTTCGATTTGCTCATGATGTTTAACGTAAAGTAACTAAAATATGCAAAGTTATCACTTTAGTAGTTAAACTGTAAAATATTTAATAGATAAATCTCAATGATAATATGAATAATAGTATTAATTAAATCAGTTAAAAATAAAATATGAATATTTCATTTAAAATTATAAACAATTTTAACAAAATAAATGCTAATGGTGAAAACAATGCATTCAAATATTTAACAGGTTTGATGAAGCAAAGGATGCAAAAATCAAATTGTTATTAAATTAATAATATTAAAATTAGTTATATTTATACATATATATATAATATATAAATGCAGCAATAGTTATAAATTAGTGTATATTTTACGGAAAAAAAATGTAAGCCTAATGCAAAGAAAATGGCGGTAAAGTGCCAAACACTTAACAAGAGTAATTAATTTGTATTGAAGTTGAATAAAATAGTATTCAACAATTGCAATTTGAAAATATATAATAAAGTAAATTATAATATGTAGTATTCATTACATACTTATAATATATTGAGGAAAATCTTCTGATATTTCAATTCATAAATTCACGCGATGCCCAACTTCATGCACTTACAATGTCCAGTATCGTTTCAGTGTTGCCACACTTAAGAAAGTCGTTGAAAATCGCGCAGTGATTTTCGGTTATTGGTTAGTCCCAATTCTTTTGGTATCATTGTACCAAAATTGGAGGGAAATTTTCCCGGCTATTTTATTTTGGTTTATTTATTTTACTTACATTAAATCAATTTAAAATAATTCATCTAAATCTTTATTTGTTATTAGGATTTATTATTTATTCGTAATAATTTATTTTTTATTTTGTTAATTAAAATGCAACGCTAGTTTTATCTGTTATTACTTAAAGACCAGCGCCATGATGTGCTCAAAAACGAACAAGTTGAAATTAGGGGAATAAAATTTATTAATTAGTATTAATATTACTTAAATAATAATATATTTGGATATTAAATATTAGATAAATAATATTAGAAATTATATATATATATATATATATTATTTGTAATCCTTAGAAAAAATCTTATATACTTGTAGATAATTAATTCTGCTATATTCAACGGATTTATAAAATACTATCTGCATATAGGACCAAACAGCCAATCAGAGAAGGCTTTAGATCAGCGGAAAAATCAGTTTAAATTTAAAATTATTAAACTGCTGTTCTTCATATTTTATTATTAATAACTATAATTATATATTATGATATGTTTAAATTAATAAAAATATGTTTGTTTTATATGTTTAATGTATTAATTAATTAATTATTTTTTATATGTTAATAATTCTTAATTAAATAATAATTAAATTCGTCACGTTATTGCCTCCATTTTTAGAATTTGGAAAAATGAGTAAACATTTATTTGTTTCTCGTTACCAAGGCAATTTATTTACGAATTTAGTCGCGAGGATAAAAAAGCTAATACAAAAAGCTTTGAAATTCAAGGACATTGAGTTTGCCATGAAAGAATATTTGAATATTTATCTTCTTTTCAAGGAAAAGGTAATCTACTCTAATTCTTACTTGACCATTTCATTTGCCTTTTATTGTTCAATGTAATTAGAATTAAATCAATTGAATTTTTTTAAATAATATTTTTCAATACTTTATATTTAAATTATTTATTATTTTAATTGGCAATCCATTTAATTTTTTAATTAATCAACTTTTGTATCTTGAAAATATTCCTTGTACATTGTTTTAATATTAAAAAAGATGACTTGTTTTTTTTTATTATTATATTAAAACTTTTTATAATTAATTAATTAATACAATGAATTAAATGTGTGTCTATAAAGAGGAAATATATTTTTATTAATAAATGTAATAATATATTATTATTTATGGATTAATGTACACTACAGTAACACAAAAATGCTAAAATCAGAATCTGTGAGTACATTAAGTGATCGGGAAGACAATATTGATGATTTAGATGGTTCCATTGTTTGGTCTCAAGAGGAGCCTCTTTCATCTAATGAAATCTTAGAAATAGAACCAGGAACTGCGCTAATGAGAAATAATGCATTTTCTCTTTGTCGACTATGTGCAGGAGAAACTCTAAACCCTGTATATATATATTCTGAATTAGGAGAGTCTATGAAATTAGCTCATAAAATGAATACTTGCTTGAGTATAAAGGTACTCTATCAACTAAAATGATTATAATAATTTCTATTTATTGTTTCTTATATTTCATAATAATCTAACAATTTGTAATAATGTATTTCAGGTAAGGAAAACGGATCCTTTACCTAAACAGCTTTGTATCGTATGTGTTGAGAAAATAAACTGGTGCAATGAATTTGATATTCAGTGTATCAAAGCGGAAGAAACTTTATTAGAGATTCTCAAAGAGAAACAATCGTTTAATATTACTGAATTGCAAACGGATAATGTATTTAACAATATTAAATCTTGTCCACTCTGTATAGAAGGAAATATGAACACTTGTCAAGATGCAATACAGAATCCAAAAGATATGGAGTTATACGATAGCGATATTGTCTTGGAAAGCAGTGACGAGGAGAAAATATTTCATGATTTTAAAGCTGATTATGAAGAAGGAAATCGATTAATTATGTTGCAATGTTTAGGAAGTAAGCAGAAGTATTTGAAATGTGGTGCATGTATGAATTTGTATCACACAAAAGAAACTTTGGATGACCATAAATGCAAGCCAAATATACAAAACACTTCCAAACCATATAAGTGTTTCTTATGCAATGCTACGTTTACTTTCGAAGAACGTTTAAATTTCCACATGCAGTTTCACAAAGGTGCTAAAGCTTTATATTGCGAAATTTGTAAAATTACTTTTGGAAAAGAATTAAAATTATATTATCATTATAAACGGTATCATTGCAAGGATGTGACTGTTTCATGTTTGCAATGTGGAAAATTATTTGAAAACCAAGAGGAACTTAGGATGCATGTGTGCGTTGATGGTAAGAATAGACCTCATGTGTGCGAAGTTTGTAATAAAGGATTTTCGGATGGATATACTTTAAAGCGACATGTGGTAACGCATTTACCAGAGAAACCATATAGATGCTCTCAATGTTCTAAAAGTTTCACGCAAAAATCAAGACTAAATAAACACACAGCTGCACATGGTATTATTATTGAAAATAATCAAACTATATGGAAATGCGTTCGTTGTGGAGCAGCTTTCAACTGTTGTGATGATGCAGATAATCATTATAAAATACACGATGATAAAATGATATTAATAGAAGAATTATTAATATCCAAGATATATCATTGCGAATTTTGCAACATGCATTTTACTGATATAGAAAATTTAAAAAATCATCAGAATCAACACGTCGTGGAGAAACCTTATAGTTGCAACATATGTAAGACGATTTACAAATCTTTTGCAGAAGTAGTTTTACATTGGAAAGAGCATTCACGTATGTTTAAAGTATTAACAGTGTTTCTATGCGACATATGCAATAAAGATATGAAAGAATTATCTCTTCTTTACAAGCATAAACAGAAAAGACATCAGTACATGCCTCGTCTTTCTGAAACTGGGAACCTGAAATATGTCTGCGAACTTTGTGGATCTGTATTCGATCAGAAGGAAAATATACAAAACCATGGACGAGATCAATGCTCGAAATTTCCTTGCGATATATGTGGTAGTTTATTACCTACCGCAAATTCTCTTAATGCTCATAAAAGAAGACATAGCGGTTTAAGACCATATGTATGTAACATTTGTGGCAAGAGTTATACTCAATCCAGTCATATGTGGACCCATAAAAGATTTCATATGGGAGTGAAACCTTATGCTTGCGAATACTGTGATCAGAGATTTACTATAAAACCTGATCTAGCAGATCATACAAGAAAAAAACATACAAGAGAAAGACCCTTCAAATGCGATGTTTGCAATAAAGCTTTCTTAACAGGATCTGTATTTTATCAACACAGATTGATACACAGAGGAGATCGTCGATATAAATGTCATTATTGCGAGAAAGCTTTTACTAGAACGGAAGCTTTAAACAATCACATTAAAATTCACACAGGAGAAAAACCGCACGCTTGTGACGTGTGTGGTCGATGTTTTCGACAAAAGGGCGATATGAGAAAACATCGACGTACTCAACACAATACCAAACAAGAGGGACAATAAAAATGTAAATGTTTTCTCTATTAATAATTAATTATTTCACTGATTTATAGTTTGACGATATTTTTAATAAACAGCGAGAGATTTAAATTTAGAAAATAAATTAATTTATATAATTTTTCGAATTATTTAAATTAATAATTAATATTATTATTTTTAATAACGTCGATGCTTATTTTTAACAAATTAGTATAGAATAATAATACGTTTGAAATATTCTATTATTATAAGAATAATATTGATATACGATAAAAAATGTAATTTTGAAAATGGCGCTTTTTACAAATGGTAGGTGCGCAGATGGCAATTGCGTTGTGAGAGTGCAGAGAACAGGTGATATTCCTAATGTCTCATGATTTTAACACTGTCACGTATTTAATCGTCACAGGGACGATCGTCGATATTTAGTATTTGAATGTGACAGTATCAATTGTGTTAGAAAATAGGTGATTTCACAAAGTCATTTAAAAAATGAATAGTATTAGATAAAATTGTAAGAAGGTGCTCCTCATTTTTTGGAGCTTATATACGAGACACTTACGTGTGTGTAAGTATGTACATCTGTCAAGGATTTTTCCCTATAGACAATACATATATAAATAAAAGCCTATTAATTGTTTTACTACAAATAAAAAAAATAAGGCTAATATTTCTTCTATTATATTTTAATAAAATATTTTCTAATTAAATGTAAACCAGATGTAACCTATAAATGCGCTCAATGTATCTACCATGTTGAAATACTGCAAGAAAAACATTCAATATTTTGCACAATTGTGCTACATTCTTTGAGTAATTACTATAGATAATATTTATATTAGAATAATTTTATAATGTATGCTATATAATATATAGGAATAGAATGTATTTTAATCAAACAATAATTTTGTAGGGTATAAGATATACAAGATTAGTGTGACACTTATAAGTATTATTAATTAAATTAATTTTGTATTTTAAGGTAGGTTTGAAAAATGGCTTTTCTACCTTTAGTCAGTTCTACGCCTCCACCACTGGATAATTTTGGAGATTCAGATGAAGATGAATTTGGGGATTTTACAGCTGGTGGAATCGATGGTATGGTTAGATTATACTTTTAACCCTTTGAATGTTAAAAACGCATAAATGCGTTTATCGATATGAATGCAAAGAATTAAATGTCATTTAATTGTTTAGAGTCTTGCCATACCAAAATTATACTCGGTAATAGCTTTCTCCTATTATTTAATTTGGAAGAATGACAATGATAATTTAGTTACTCTTAGTATAACCAATTATATATTGCATTAGCGAATAAATATCGAATCCTTATAAAGCGCTTTGATCAAGAGTATTGAACACTCAAAGGGTTATTTGTTACATGATTTATCATAGTTTCAGTCGCATGCTTTCATTTAATATTGTATATTAAAATTTATGAATTATAATCATTTTTATTGTTTTACAGGCTTATCGATTACATCAGATTCACCACATAAAATGATCACTCCTATTCAAACTCCAATAATGTCTGAAAATGTATCTCCTAAAGTTAACGGAGTTAATTATTCTCCAGGATCTAATAACATATGCTTGAAAAATGATTGTAGCATACTTAAATGTAATATTCCAGATGACATATTAATTGTTGAGAAGGCGGAAGATATTGTGAGCAACATAGAATTACACGATCATTCAGATAATAGTAGTATTAAACAAAATAATTTTCACGATGATGATAATAGTATCATTAAAAATGATAATTTAAATCTATGTAGTGAGAATGATTTAAAAGCTACAGAAAATAATAATGATACTTACGATCTTTGTACTCAGGTCATCTTAGATAAAGTTAATTTAATTAATAAGAGCTTAGTCAGTAGCAATAATAGTAGCTTAGAAAATAGCGTGAAGACTGTGAGCGAGCATGAAGGTTCATTAAATAATTTGGAAGTTAATGACGATGTAGAACCTTTAAGCCTAGATTTAGATGACCCCATAAATACATCTGACGGATTACAACATCTAGACAATGATTTTTATAATTACGAACAATTTAAAGATTCCGCAGACTGGAGTAGTTTTGATAATAATCAAATATTGCATAAAGAATTGTCCGTTTCGCAAGCTAATTGTTTTGATCTGCAATATGAAATTGTAAGCAATTCATATGATGATACAATTATTAATGCAGCCAATGATACTCACTTAGACTGCAAATCGACGGATGAAAGAATGAAAAAGAATGAAAGTAATAAAATCGTCAATGTTACAACAGATAAGTGTGAATCTACGCAAAATAGTAAAACATTATCCGATTCTCTTCCCTTTCAAGACAAGGATGTAAAAAGTGTAGACGTTCTTTCTCAATCGGACTGTGATTTAACTGTTGAGGAGGATCTCAAAGAAATTGGAGATACGTTTGATAAAAATGAAACGCTAAGTAACGATATTGTATATACCTCTTTCAGTTCTGCTTTGGGTATAGATAAAACTGTAAGAAACAAATCAAATCTAGATTGTAAATTTGTAAATAACGATATTGGTACCTCGCCTAATCTATCATGGAGAGATAATACAAATCTTGAATCAAATGCATTTGATACGCTGGATGTAATTGAAAATGTTACAAGTGAGATAGTTAATAATAAAAATAGTATTGCAATCAATGAAAATACATTTGCTGTGGATACAAATTTAGATAATGGAGATACTTTCATACAATCTGCTTTGATAGATAATAATTCGTTCGATAAAGAAGATCCTAATTTTACAGACTTCAAATCTGCTCAAGATTTTGATAGAGCGTCAATGTCCGAGCGCAATTTAAATATCATATCTGATAATTTATCTAATACAGTACAAATCGAGGATAACTTATCCAAGTTGTCGAGTGAAACAGATTTTCGACAAAATCTCTCATCTTTTGTAAACGTATCACTGCCAACGAATAAAACATTTTCTAATCATATTGCACAGGCAGAATGTAGTGATTTAAAAAATCATTCGGATTTGGAACGTGCCACTTATAACAGTAGAACCTGTATAGACAATTTCGAAAACGATGATTTTTCTGACTATCAAGAAACGTTAGGAGAAAATCAAATGCCAACAAATAAAAAGAACGATACCTTTACAGTACTTTCTAACCCAGAAATTGTAGACGATGATTTTGGAGATTTTACGAATTTTTCAAGCGTGGGAGATGAATGGACATCTAACGTAGTTGATCCCAAAGTACCTGAAACTGATGATGACTTTGGAGAATTTAATAATTTTGAATCTTCAAACAGTACAGTAGAAACACAACAGTTTAGTTTGAGAGAATCTATGTGTCGGATAGAAAATAAGAATGTAAGTTTAGAATAAATCAATGAAACATCTCTATAGTTCTAGTACGTCATACCAGAATATTAGCACATTTGTCGCATGTTTGTTAATTCTGCATGTTATTTAACTTGCTCATATCATCGTAATATAGTAATCATGTGATTATTTCCAGGCTGCAAACAAGATAGAAGATATAGTAACAAATATGTTTAGCGTGATGCCTACGCTTCCAGAAACCGATTTAAAACCTTTAATTACAAAAACAGATAAAATCTGGCAATGCTTGAAAAACGTAGAAGAAACTAATGCTTTAACTTATCAATGGTCTAATAGTACTAGTAATAATGTGCTTTTAAATGCACTCGGCATTGATTCGCGTAACATTGTAAGTATACTTCTTTCTTTCAGTATTATTATATACATAACTTTAAATAAACGATAAATCTTTTCTCATTTATAGTTATTTGGACCAAGGTGGAATTCTAGTGTTCCAAGGTTCGCAGCTAATCTCGGCTTTACACCGTTAGAACCGATAAAGGCATCCGTCGATTCTCCACCATCAACTACAAATAAAATGCAAGGAGTGTCTACTTCAGATGTAAGTGTAATTAAAATATATAATTAACTATAAATTCATTAATGCACAATTAATGTTTACCAAATCATACCAGGAAGTACCTGCTGCCCAATTTGATTGGAATAGTTCTGGGCTTGTAAATCCTTTAGATGCTAGTAAGTATAAATTGTGTTTCTAAGAAAATTACTATGATGCTTAAAAAAAAAAAATGAAGAAAGTTTGAAATACTAAAAAAAAGGTTGCTTTGGCTTTATATATACGAATACTTTTTTCTAAGCTATGCACGCATATTTAAATGTATATAATACATCCTCTTAAATATCACAAACAATAATACAGGTGGTGGGTTATCAGCTCTTCTACCATTGGATTTATTGTGTCCGTTTGACCCTCTACTAACACCCCACTGTTCCACATATTCCGAATCCTATCATCAAACAGCTGCTTATACACGGGACTCCATATATTATTGTAAGTGGTAGTGCTAGCATTATCCTTTATCCTTGCACACTATAATAAATGTATTATCTATACATGCTATCCATAAAAAAATTTTACATACATCCCAATAGATGATACTGTATTTATTTGATTATTATTAATATTTTTAAGAAACATTTACTTTTATTATCGAACAGATTCATCAGATCCAACCGTTATCACCGAGAACAGCAATTTACAATCCATAAAAATATCAAATAAAAGTACATTGAATCCTTTCAACAGTGGATTGAATGATAGCATAAAATCTCAAAAACAACAAATGCAAACAGGGAAAATGATCGAGCCTCTACCAGGTCCACACACAATCGATTGGAAATTGAAAGAGGAACACGATGTAAGCGGAGGAGGAGGAGGAGCAGGAGGAGTAGGAGGAGTAGGAGGAGTAGGAGGTGGTGGTGGTGGTGGGAAAGGAAAAAATTATCAACACAAAGTATTAAAAAATGCTCCATCAGTAAACAATAAATCGTTCCTAGTAAGTAGTAGTGCTACGAAAAGTCAAGACTCGTATTATAGAAAATCGTCATTATCGAGAAGAGAACATTTGCAAAACGCGGAACATGTAACCGTTGACAGGTTTGGTAGACCAATGTCCGTGCATGCAGAGACTATCAAAGTTTTGAACCAATTGCCAGATTTATCATTTTTAAGTGCTAGAACTTTATTGTATAATCGTGAGCAAAAGCAAATAGTTCAAGACTTGGGTGCCATGATAAATCGGAAAATGCCTGGCTGAGTAACGTCGGTCTGAATACGAGTTTGATAAGGTAACACGAACAGAATGGAAAATAAATTTTTAATAGATACTCTAAACAATCAGTATAATCAAAAAAACAAGAAAACAAATACTTCTGCTACCTTTCAAACCTGTGTTCAGACCAACCTCTGATCCATCTTGGCTCTTCCATGTTGGTATCATTGAAGATGTTATGTCGTAA